GCCCCCACAATTTGCCTTTCAGCCACTCCTACTGCAGAGCAAGTGCTATAGCTCTCATAATTAGTAACAGCGAAATCCAAGAAACTTAAACAGCATAACTGTTTTGTAATCTCCATCGAAAGAGCATAGCCTTAAACGTTGACATCAAAAACACCCAAGGCTGATGCAATTTTATCAGTAAACATGAAATACTTCAAAGCAAAACATAGTTGTAAATCTAGATGCTGATTATCATATTGACTACTTTCTCAGGTGGTAGTGTGATTAAGCCAGAAGTGAAATTGTTCTTTTTCTAAGTTATTATTGTATAGAACAAATAAAGGAAATTTACTAAGCACGTATCTACAAGATGCATAACCTCTTAACTCAATGTCCACCAAGCTCATATGTCCAGCAAGCATATAATGAGAAATTAAAACTAAATGATGAAATGTCATCCTTTGCTGTGGCAAGACCAGAAATTGCGGCCCCCCCTCCCACACCAAAAAGAAAAAGAAAAAGGAGCAATGAACAGCAAAGAGAACACAAGATTTTCCTATTTTTTTATTTAAATGGAAGTTATAGAACTAGCTATGTCTTCCATTTGGTTCAAATTTTTATCAAGGCTAAACAACATGCCACAACGTTAAATGGAAGGTTGAGCACTGCAGGAGATCTTCTATTCCCATAGCAGTGATGTAGTATTCACTTACATAATGTACATATCACCTAATAGTTGAGTAATGTGGATTATATACAACGCAAAAATATGTGGGAATGTAAGTATTACACCAATTTAAGTAGTACTATATATTAAACTAAAAATTGATAAATAATCTATGCTCAGTACATAAATAGTTGAAATACCAGTCAAACTAGAAAGCAATTTTACAGGGGCAATTCCTCTGCAGCCTTCAGCAAATATCTAAAATTGCTTAAAAAAACAATCCCTTTTTCGCCACTCAAAGTCTTTGTAAATCAAACGTTTCAACGCATTCTTCACTAAATAAATGCAAGGATAATTCAGAATAAAAACTGTTAAAAATGCTTCCAAACAAGATAACCGCAAGTACAGCATTAAACTGATCGATCAAGGGAATCAAAATTAGAATAGTCTTGCAGAAGTGAATGTACACAGAAAAATATAACAGAGGAACACAATTTAACAAACTTTAGACTAACCCTTTGTTCATGTTAAACCTATAATTACAAACCTGGTTGTTTTCACCATTTTGGACCGAAGCAAACTGTTTTTCAGCTATGGTGGATACAAAACGTTGAGACATGAAAAGGCAGCCTCTTTTATGGGAATTTAAATCTAGGTTATTGAGTTGTGGAGCAAATGGAGAAGTAGCAGTTGATGCAGGGAAACGGCTATGATTGTCGTGGTGCAGACAAGAACAACTGTGCTGCTTCATCAAACTCGATAAACCAACCTTTGATTTCAGGTTGTTGATAATATTTCTTGAATTTTGCAGATAGAAAGCCATTGAAAAGAGAGATAAACCAATGAAATGCTTCGAGTTGGGTGGAAACACCAGAGAGGCAGATAGACAGTTAACAATAATTTAAAGGACAGAGAGAGAAGATAGAAAGAAAATACAAATTTAAAGAACATCCTTTTACTTCCTTTATAGGTTTGTCAGCTATGGATGGATTAGAATTCTGACGTGGATATTCTACAACTCGGGCCACACTCCTCGGGATCAAGCTAGTACCACCCGCGAGTTTGAAAAAAACTGTCAATAATCGCGATAAAGAAAATACACGTGGCGAAATAAATAATAACTTTTTTATTTCTTTTGTTTTGTAATTTATTTTTATTCTAAAGAAAAAGAAATTCATTTTTTTAGGTAATTGACCCGTTATTGACCGCTAAATAATAGCTTGTACCAGTAGTTAAATATAATTTCTTTTTTACATTAATTTCTTTTAATTTGTCAACATGGTTTTTTTATTTAAATTTAATTTAATGTCGGTTTTGAACTTGAAGCTTGATTTAAGACTTCATTTTTGTTGCCATTTAAAAAATGTTTCATTGAAACGTTTCTGTACAATACAAATTTTGATATTTTTATTTTCTTAAGGTAAAATAAGCACCCAAAATTTTCTCCCTACTAAATTTAATGCAATATTCAGTTGATTCCACTTCTTCTTATAAATTTTTTTTATATAAACTATTTTTTTTTTTGTGAGTAGTTGATATAAATGCAAATACATGCAAATGTCATTAGTCAATCCAAAAATCTTATTTATTTATAAGTACAAGACTTATCTCTTTTCTTACTTAATTATTTTTTCATTTACAAAGGGGAGAAACTTACTTTAATTCAGATTTATTTTAATCTTGATATATGTTTCAACTCAAAAGATATAATAAAAGAAAACTTTCATTATAAATTTAAAAACTTTATATTTTATTTATACGAGATTCGTAATATAAATATTTTTATCAAATAAAAAAAAGTGGTGGATATCTTTGAATTCAAAAGATAATGATTATTAAGTACTTTGAATGCTGCATTTATGAGCATAATGCATGTACTTTTCGTTTTCAAAAATTTTGATTGAATCTTATCAAATGCTAATAGTGGTTAATTAAGTAGGAAGATGGTTTCAGAGTTAATTTTCAGATTGGGTCTCAATCTAAATTCATAATATATAAAATGATCACAGTCATAAATTTATCATATTTTTATTCAAATAATTTGATAATAAAATTATTTGATTGTATTAAAATCTTGAACTCTATTTTTAACTTTTTATGTTTTCATAATTGTAGTTAGGAAAGCGTGCAAACAAAGGAGTATGCCTACTCTCCTCTTCCGTAGAAGAGTTCGCGTCCTTGGGGAAAAATGAGGTGCCAAAGACAACGTGCAATAAGTCACATTTCGAGATTAGCCATCCTTGCGGGCTCCCTCGTCATTGGATTATCAATTGATTCCTTTGTAATAATAAAGTAATAATATTTAAAATTTTCTCTTCTATCCATTTCTTTTAAATGAAATTATTTTTCGCATTTCATGTTTGCATTCTACACTCCATCAAATACTATTAATAGTCAAAGGACATCTATTAAAAAAAATTCTTGATTTTGAATTTGCCTCTTTAGTCTACCAAACATCTTATTTATTTTTGTAAAGTAATTGACGTGACGGAAGTATCAAAATGTAAAATATGCAAGGCAGCCCAAACCAATTCTCTAAGCACTATATAATTTTGTTTTTTTAAAGTAAGCACTATATAAACTTAAATGAGTTTTGAGGTCATTTAGATTTCATGAAATTATTTTTGTGAATTATGATTGTATTGATGATTTGATTTTTCTTTAGTCAATATTAATGATTAATTGATGATTTTTAAATACAAAAATATGATAAAAGTTAAAAGTGAAAATTTACAAATTTAACAAATTGTATAAACCAAAAAGTTGTAGTCCCTTCTTATGACCCTCTCAAATTGGCACATTTAATCTCTTTATTTCCTTATTCTAAGTGACACAATGTTTTATGTATAATGTATTTGAATATTGCCTTTTTTTTTAATTTATCCCTTAATTTCAAATAAAAACAAAATACAGAGATCCAATCTACATAGTGATATTCAAAAAGGTATAATATTGATTTTAAAACAATATTTATTTACTGTAGATTTTAATTATTTTTTATAATAGTTGGAATAAAATATAAATTCTTCCTTTCATTAATAGATAGGCTAAAGGAACATTGAAAGTCCAAAACCATAATAAATAAAGCCCACTTACAAAATTAAACATAAGAAGAGACTGAATCAGTTGGGAATTACATGACTTAATTTTAATACTTAAAAATTAATCTCAAATAGTATAAATTTAATTAAAAATGAATATTAGCTGAGAAGGAAAGAGGAGTCTAGACGGGGAAGGGTCACTTGCACCACAAGAATCAGCCTTCTCGGAGGGCAACCTGGAAGAGGAACAACACTCTCTCCCCTTCGTCGCTACCGTTGAGTGTAGTGGGTTGCTTAAGCTTGTTATCTTGCCTCCCTTGTTGATTTTACAAGTCATCATTTTCAGTTTGAAATATTGGAAAGTTCATCTATTTAAGTTTCCAAAAAAAAAAAAAGATTATGTTATAGGTTGCATTTCCCACATTTTTCCCTTCAATTTCGCATTAAGGCAGGTTATGGAGTGTGTGCATCTAGGGAGCTTTGTGATCCAGGGTGCTTCAAACAGCTTGTTTGCTTTGCAGGATGTTATATTTTCATCGACATGAAATATGTACATGATTATATACATATACATTGTAAGTAATGACAAACTTAAGATTTTACATAATTAATGATTAAAAGGTAATTATAAAAATAATTATATCATATATATATAAATATTAAGTTATATATATAACAATAAATTAAAATTTAAAGAATGATGGCAACCGTTACCACCAGCCATCACTTTGTCTCCACCGGTGATTGTAAAATTTCTTAATAAGAGGAATCGATTTTTTAAAATAAAATAATTTTTTTATTGTGTAATTCAAAATTTTAAGTACAAAGCATACCGAATATATTACACATTAAATTGAGATCCTTATGTTGGATAAAAGATTTGTTCTCTTCTCATTATATTCCTTGACTCTAAAGTTTAGTACATGTGAGAAATGTAGATAGTGTATATATTCAGCATAAGCCGCATATGTACTAGAATTTGACCTTACCTCAAATTTTTGACGGGAACTTTTTGCCGTAGCTTTAGAAATCATGACCAAAACTTGGTGGTAGTTCTTCAACGGTTCAGCCCAAACAACCCAATCAGAAATGGTAATACATGAATCAATGGCATAAATAGGGCAAAGATACCTTCTTAATCCATCTTCCTACTTCGAGTTTACAATGTTCAATTCTCTTGTTCCAGAATTACACCATAGTATAGTACTGGCCATGACATGTGGACAGAAAGACTCCAAGTTCATGACCTAAAGCATGAAATTTGCACAACAAAAGTAACCCATCTGTAGCTGCTGCACATTTTTCACAAAATTTATTAAAGGTTCATGGGGATGAAGAGTTAGGAACATATTACACATATATATTCAAAAGTGCCTAAAGGTATTTGTGGGGCAGCAGAAGGAATTTCTTCTGGTTTTAAATGGTTGTTGTGATCGACGTGGTGAGTTGTGATCCCTTGCCAAGTCTTAACAAAGCTCAGGCTATGGTTGCAAGAGAAAAAACACACAGCAAGCATTGGTGGCAAGCCTTGCCCCTTTGAATAAGCGGTCTTCAAGGATAAATAAATATGAGAGCAAATCTCTCGTCTAATATCCATTGTGCATTTTAGCCAGAAAAAAGGAAAAGAAAAAGAAAACCCCAGGATCGTTGTTGATTGAGAAAAGGAAAAATAAAAATATACTTGGATGTTTAGACATAAGCATAATACTACCTACAAACACAGCCAAATTCATTTTACATCCGAAGATATAGAAAGAGCTAAACTAAGTAGAAACTAGTTATAATTCAGAAGAATTTGGAGGAACTTATATCATCAAGATCATCATCCATTGACAAGAACATTTCATCAAGGCATGAAAGCTCAGTTCCATCATCTTCATTGCTGTAGCTGAAGCTCTGAGAATTACCCTTACTCTCTTCAACTCTACATAGAACCCATTTACTACAATCCTGCACAAGAAAAAGGGAGTAATTAAGAAAAACAATGTAAATTCCAACTTAGATATGTAATTAGTTAAAGGTATATACTTTAATCAAAGTGCAATATAATCATACAAATCAATAACAGTTAAATTATTTCTTACCAATTTTTGATTTCCTTTTGGTTTATATGATGTTAGAGTTGAGTCCCAATTACAAAGATGATATTCTTGCATCAACCAATTTGTTTCTATACCAAAAGGAGCTTCATTTATGTGGAACAAAAAGAATTGCTTCATCGCAATTTTCTTGCCTGCACCACCAAAGATGGGTTCCTCAGTATCTAATTGCTTCCAATAACCATTCTCCAGGACTCGATTTTCCATCATCTGGGTAAAGAAGAAGTACTGGTTTCCACTCAACAGTGCCTTGCCTATTCAGCCAATATAGAACCATGTTAACACTACAATGGACAAAACAAAAGAAAGAAAGAAAGAAAAAACCACTCTAAAGAACAACATGAGATGGAAAAAATCGCAAACCATTCAGTTCCCAAGGGTGAAGCAGATGAAGATCAAGTTCAGGAATGATGTTGGGATGGCAAGGTAAGAGCAAGGCCTTAGGGTAGAGAAAGTGTAGGACAAGTTCTTCATCGGTGGGGCAAAATCGGAAGCCTGGAGGAAGGTTGATGCACCCATCTTTCATTTCCATCTTAACAGGAATACGAAATTAAGCAGCTGCAGAATTAACAGGCAGTGAACATTATATAGTGAGATTGTTGCTTTGGTTTTTCTTTGCTTCATTTATAGGTTGTCTTACAAATATTTGTAATGTTGGGGAGCGAGAGAGAGAGAGAGAGAGAGCTTAGACAATTCAGCAGTCGAATTGATAAAAAGGCGGCCGTAAAAGAATAAAAATTAAAGAATTATGGGATGGACTCTATGGAAATGGATAATATAAGATTACTGAATAAAAATTAAAGAATTATGGGATGGACTCTATGGAAATGGATAATATAAGATTACTGAATAAAAATTAATAAATTATGGGATGGACTCCATGGAAATGGATAATATAAGATTACAGTTTTTTCAAGGAAACAATTTGAGTTCCCTAAGATCATTTAAATATTGAATATATAATTTTATGGAGGATTAGCATATATCACTGTCATGCTTCATCTGCAAGTTGTTTGGCCCAATACTAGACCTTATGTTTTCTGGTGATAATTAATTCTTGGGTATAATCTAAATTATCCAATTTACATGAAAATTAATGGATCAAATTTTCTTTGATTAATGACTAAAACTGAAAAGAAGACTGACTTCGATCTGTCTTAGCCATTTTTGAAACATTTAATTAGTCAAAAAAATATTTTTTGAGAAAAAAAAACCCCTTTCTTCCTTTTGATTTACTGGCAAAATCATACAACACAAAGTAATTATTTTATTTACTTTTTTATTTATTGGGTCATAAAAATTTTCTTGATCAACAAAATCTTGAAGTTGTCTTTGAAAAAAAAAAAGTATCTAGCATAGTTATCATCAAAGAAAAGTAGGAAACAAACTAATGTTCATTCTTGTGAGTGTTTGATTAAGTCAAATTGCCATGATTGAATGGAAAAATCATACCTAATTGTGTTTTTCATGTTTTTTCAATTCACATCACCTTCCTTGCTTGGGGTGACTGAAAGGGAGAGAGAGAGAGAGAGAGAGCTATCTCTATATGATTTTATTCAATTTATACTTATATCTTTTTAATATTCCTTTTTCCTTTTTTTGGCTTTAGATCTAACCAAGCAATTCATCCATCTTTCCTTCTCATTCTCCTCTCCTTGGCTTGTAAATTATAGTGATGCCGATGAGACCTTTCATGTCACCATTTACAGATAGAATGGAACATCAAATTCTGTGGCCATATGATAAATTTAACACGTTCTTATCAATTATAAATCATAAGTCAAACCCTCATAATTGTTTATATGTGACACAATATGCCCTTATAACAAGACATATCTATTTAGAACAATTAAATTTAAATAAGATAGACATAAATGTGCTACTTTTTTTTTTTAATAACGTGTTAATGTTTGTTATTAAATTACACAAAAGGGAAGTAAGTTTTTAGTCTTTATATCTCTTAGGGGACAACACTTGTAAAACATGGTTTTGTGATTGAACTTTGATTTTTAGTTGAATATGAATCAACATGCATGTGTCTTTCATAGCATGCAAAAGTTGCTACTATATATAAATATCTCTCTTCCACATTAGCTGGTCATGCATGATTTTCTTTTGAAGTGTACTTTTTACTAGAAAAGTTGTGATTGCTAGTAACAAAAAGAGAGGGAAAGCTAAAGAAAAAGAAGAGAAAGTTGGCCATGGCGGTCATTGAGAAGCTACAGCCCTTGACACCTAGGATAGCTGCACACTGGCCATTCCTTTAAGTAACACGTACAGGAGCAAGCAATATTTCCAAAAGGCCAAAAAGAAGAAAAAAATAAAGAAGAAAAGGATTGCTATCTTTTTTTCTTTTACTTTTAAGAAAATTGCAAAACTCAAATAATTACACATTTTTTATTCTGAAAATTACATATTTCCTCATATCTAAGGAGACATATGAAGTGATTGAGAAATTTAAAATATATGCAATCTTCCTCTCAAATTCAAACCAAAACCAAATATTAACCAAGCAATGGTTTAATTAAAAAGGCTTAATGTACGTATATGCTTTTGTTTATATATATATATATATATATATATATAATCCTGCCCTACATATAAAAAATAATTTTTTTCTAATAAATTCATTTTTTTATTTAAAAATTTATTATTAAAATTTTTAAATTAAAATTTTAAATTCTAATCGTTGAAATCTCACGTATCAAATGAATATGTTTCATATAATTTTTTTAAAATTTAAGTTGTCAAAATATAGAGATAACAATTACACAACCAAATGATGCATCCAAACCATAAATTTGAAAATTCCATAAATCAATTTCATTAGATTTTAGAAATGGGCCATTTGTGAATTGCTGCATTTCTAAGTTCTTCAAAATTTTGTAAACTTCTCGACCAAACACAATACTGTTAAACAGTGTCGGCTTGATAATATACTTTAATTAATCCCCCTACATATATACATGAAGCAACAAAACAAGAAGTTCAGAAGCTGAGAATCCACTAAAGGAGCATGGGGCATGAAACCTGTTAACCAAGAGAATTGTTAAGATTTCTGAAGACGGTAAGGAAGTCTTCGTCAAATTGTTTCATGAGTATATATGTTTCTTTCGTATGTATAATGGTGCCTCGTTTCTCTGCTCACATCTTTATCAGCAAAAACATGCTACTATGTAATATATATATATATATATATATATATCACGGGGAATCATCCAGAACACAAAATAGAGAAACAAACAAATTAGTCTGATGTAAGAAATCAAATCCCATGACGTGTGCCAATAGAAGAACAGTAGCATCACACTTTTGTTGGTTTTAACATCTTTATCCCAAAGCCGCCATGATTGCAATTTTTTTTCTAAAGTTGGCAAATTATAGCCTCGCTATTGTAGTTGGTAGGACATACCTAAAAGGAAAGCTTGAAGAGTCAATAACCAGATTACATGTTTGTTCAATCATCATTGCCACTGCTTACTTCCCATTTATAGAATTTGTAATAGTTTTTTATTGCTTTGAGAGATGCGAAAGCTTGCTTTTCTGTTACTATTTTTTCTTTCATCGTGTCGATCTCTGAATGTTCAGTCCCTCTCTTCTTTGATCCCTTTGTCGACAAGGATGATGCTTTTTTGAGGTTATATTCGTTTTCACACTTGGAATATGTTATATGGTAACTTTATTGAAGCTGCTTTGCTAATCTTTTCCTTCCATCTGTCTTTTGGTTTCTGACAGAAAAGTTAAATACCAAAGCTAGGCCTCAACAAAAATTTTACAAGGAAACTAGGATTGAGGTTGGAAGGAGGAGGAGGCCATGTTTCTAGGTGTTTCTTTGTCACCCACCACCAAACTGAATTATGGGTTTGGGGGTTAAAGAGACGACCAGTAATTACTTGGGATGTGACGCTTTTCTCTACGTGTGATAAGAAGCATATATATTTTGCTATGATTGAGACACTAAAGAAATTCATGCGGTGAAGATAGAGGTTTAATCTTAATCTTCACAGTAACATTAATGAGTGAGAATGGACTTGTTGGGCTCATTTGGTCTTGAAGCCCTGCAAAAGAGATGGGTAGTGAGGTTATTGCTTTCCGCTGGATGAAGACATTTAGGAGAGGGAGGAGTGAGAGATTAGGAGTGGTGGACTTACTCCTAAGGTCCTTGGCCATCTCCCTTTTATTTGTGACTATTTAGGTGTTATCTTAATTAAGGATAAGGATCTATCATCCTTAGTTTTTTGTATATATTCTGACATGGATATGGGGTGCCACTTCTCATCTCTAATTAGACCTTGTCCGCCTGATCATAACACTTAACATGCATATTTTAGCTATCAAGTATCAACTAACAGAGAAGGCAAAAAATTCTTAATACTTTCTTCCTTTGATTGTTTGATTGAACAAGAATAAACTGGAATTATGAAAAAGAAGAAGCATGCATGTTCAAATTGTTAACTAAAACAAATTACTGACATTTACGTATATTTATTCTACTTCCACTTGAACATTTGATTTAATAGTATAATGTATATAATTCTGCTCAAAAAACCTTTGTTTAAATATCTCCTATCTTAAATAGAATAAGATCTTTTCATTAAAGACGAAATGATTGGCAGTGGGCTAAGTGGCTAATCAGTCATTTCACTAATGCAATTCAGTGCCTTGAGTACAAGAATCTCATTCCTCATTAGCCCCTACCAACACTCGATCAGGCAATAGATGGATGGAGATGCAAGAGCGGTTGAAATTTGGAAAGGTCTTATATCAAATCCATATGACACAATCTATTCCTTTCTACATTGAAGAGATTACAAATAATCGCAAGTAGTTGTTCATGTTTGGTCATGTTATCAAGTCACTGTTTAGTAAGCATTGAGCAACTCACAGAGAGAGCGATGCTTCACATTGAGCTATCAAAAAGTATACTCAAAGACCTCACTTACACATTGAGCAACTCAGAGGACAATAAACATTAAGACATATTCTTATCATTTAGCTATATGAAGAACTATACCATCTAGTTATGTACAATCGTGTTCACAAATTTAACCTCATTTACATCAATTTATGATTCAGGTCGTTGACCATCTGGACATCAACTTATGGTACAAATTATGGAAGAATCTCCATTGCATATCACGACTTCATTTTCATCACAGATAAATATAGGACAGTGCGGGCTTAGATAGATTTTAAGATTTCGGTTATCTGCACAATCACAGCGAATGTATGTGCTTTACTCTCTGAATCGCTTGCTTCACCCTGGTTGATGGTTCTTCATACAATATTGCAGGGTTATCAAACCCAGGTGCCAAACTTGGCTCCCCAAGAAATGCACGAAATGAGTCTGCCACGGAATATGAAAGTGAATCAAGGTTGTATCCTCCTTCCAGGAAAAATACACAGCGGCCACCACATAGTTCTTTGGCAAGTTGCTTGATATTAGACGCAAGCATGTAGTATGTCCCTGTTGTAAACTGTAGACTGGCTAGTGGATCCAATACATGACCATCATACCTGGACAAAGATCAATCAAACCCTTGCTAGAGGATGTATAATCTTCTTTATAATCTATTAAAACAACCAGGTTTAATTTATATCTACATCCCACCTGATTCCATTATTATATGA